ATTTGGTCGCGGTCTACCATGCAAATATTTTGGTCCTGGTGATGGACCAAAGAAATGATTTGGTTAACGTATCTAAAATGTTATATATAGAATGTGTTAGATATCTTAAAATGTTATATATATATATATATATATATATATATATAATGTTTTACATATCTAAATGTAATTTAGTTAACGTATCTTTATCTAACATATCTAAAACAAACCTCAACGATTACGGAGTCTGCAAACCCAAATATTTCCTCGGGGCAGTAAAGAAAGCGTGTCGCTGATTTCCAGACAATGTTACGGAGATCACGTTTGGAACGATGTCTAACACCTTTAACGCCCGCTTTCGGCGCGAGCCAATGGCTCCCGCTCTATGAGAGGGCAGGGCGCCGGAACCGAAGGGGAGGTGGGGGGTGGGGGGGGGGGGGCTGAACACCCACTTTCTGAGAACCGAATGTTGGTCCTATCGCGTTCAATGAAAGCAACAGCTAAAAGTACTCATTGGTCCCCAACTTGGGAGAGCCTCCATGGCCCCTGAGGGAGTTAGAAGAGATCGGTGATTCTTTCTTGTTGAAAAGACAGCGGCATGAAACCACGCAGGCTCACTCCGTTAAGCACCAGGCGTCGGGGCCTGCACTCCAAGCCGCGTCTGGAGCCTCTGTGGTGTCAGCGGAGCTACAGTCGGACCAAACAGCAGACAAACACGCACACCTGGCCTGACACGAGCACACGAACACGGCCCGCCCCGCGCCGGGCTAATAACCAGCTGCACCGTCGTCGGCGGCGTGATTGGCGCGGCGAACGGCCGTGCTGACGAGGGAGCAATAAACGCATCACGCGGCGCGGCGCCACCAGCGGGCGCGCGCCGGCCGCTGTGACGGCGCGTGACGGCGCGTGACGAGCCGTGACGTGACCGGTGCCGTCCAGCAGAGACGACACCAGGCACCGCCCGGACAGGCGCCGACCAAGAACATTCGACAAAGCCGCACGCCGTGCCCATCGACCCCGTGCGTGTCACCGGTGCCGCGGAAATGGTCGCCAGGCGGCTGTAGCGGCCCCAGCGGGCCCGGTCCCCCACACGTGCGTGGTGTCCACGCCAGTCCGCGGGGCGCGTCGGCCTTCCCACGGGCGCGCGCGCGCGGCGGCGGACCGCAGGGCTAGCGGTGTGCTGCGGCCGGCGGATGGGACTGAGCGCGGCCGCCGCCGATCCGCTGGCCGTCACGCGCCGCCCCAGCTCAGTCAGCCCCAAATTAACTACATGCACGGCGCGGGACTTAGCGGCACGTGGCCGTTTGATGGCCACTGGCGGCGAGGCGCCATACGAAAAGAAAAAAAATAACGTGACAAAAGCAAGATCATTTGTCAGAATGGATTTGACAGTGCTGAAGACAAACCATTGTGGATGAAATTAACGCCAGGTGCGGTTTGATTCCACAGACGCCAGATCCCAGAAGTGCTGGTCATTCAACACCAATCCAGACATTTCGAGGGCTCACGCTCGCTTGAGGACGATGCGAAAACCTCGCATCCAGTGGCGTAAGCAGGATTTGGGCTTTAGACCCCGCTACTTGTTAGCAGTTTATAATGCCGGTAGAACTAAGAAAACATCGGCACATCAAGACGGTATTCCAATGCATCAAAATAATTTTCCAAATCAAGCAGGGCCCTTAAATAAAAAACTGCAACTTTTAGCACCGAAGGGGGCTATTTGAACTATTTTCCTGTCTGGAAAGGGGTTAAATTATGTTTTGACAATCATTGCCCTCCCCCCCTCCTGGACAAAATCTCCGCTAACGTCTCACATATATTCCACATCATGAATATGACCCCAAGCAAAGATAATGATATCATGTGTCCACACCATGATGTAGGTGCATTTCTAGTCATGAGAGCCGATCGATGGCTGACGTCTACAACAGCGTTGATGACTCGTGCCGACCTCGCACGGAATGACCAGACGGCGAATGAACACGGAAATCCGCATGCTCCAGCATCCCAAAAGGCGGGTGCTACTGCCGTCCGCAACACACCGTCTCCGTGACCAGGGGACAAATACAGTAAAGGATTGCACGGCACCAACTCTGGATGTGCCCAAGATGCAGTGCCACGCCCCGCCGTAGTCCTGTTCAAGACTGCGGCGAGGGGACGGCCCTGCTGACCGCACTGGACATTTTGGCTGCGAATCTTTGTCTATCTTGTTTCAACGGCCGGTGGGTGACAGGAACGTATCAGAGACGTATCGACCTGCAGTGCTGCCTGGCAGTGACAGGAGCGTATCAGGGACGTATCGACTTGCAGTGCTGACTAGCAGTGACAGGAGCGTATCGACCTACAGCGCTGGCTGGCGGCTGCCGGCAGCTGGGTGGAACCCCGTGGAGGGCGAGCCCGCGTGCCCGCCGGCAACTCACGCGACCGTGGGGCGGGCACGCCCGCACGCCGGGCCGGGCCGCAGTCAGCGGTCCCTCGCTGGGATTATGGGGCAAACCGCCCGAGGGGTCTACGTTTATGAACGTTGGTCTACCAGGATTTAGACGTTCCCCTTATTGTCCTGGGGGCAAGGTCTGCATTTCGGTAGTTTTACATGCTTTGAAACATTGGAAGGACTTTTATCAAAATCCATAAATAATATGCATTCTGTTTCGGAAACTAAACAGATCGTCATGGAAACCGTACCACATATTTGACACCGACATTTCTATACTATAGTGTTGAATATATGTGGCACACATACATACACAAATCCTGCATCACTTTTGTTATCTGAATTCGAGTTTGCATGCATTTGCCAGAATTCATTCCAGGTCATTTAGTTTGCGGAGGCCTCCTGAATGACTAACCAATGACAGTCAACGACTGAATCCATCTCCCAATTGTTCCTGAGCTCCATCCTTGCTTTTTTAAGCCCGAGAGCAGGTTCATGGTATTTAGATTTTCCATGTGCACTAAAGAGGGTTCGTGGGATGAGCTTTGGCATATAATAATTGGCTGTGCTCGTCGTAGGAAAGCCGAGCTGCGGATGATTATCCTGAAGCACGCCGTTCATGTGCGAAAGCAAGGTCTGCCTATACTGGCTTTATATTTACGCGCTCCAATTGGTGCCCGTTCTCAATGCAATACATACCTTTACACATGAAAAATGTCATCTGTGTATACCTTGCTTATAAACTATGCATGTATTTATGCGTTGTTAACGCTTGGCAGTCTCATTGCCATGCTTTCAATCGTAAGCTCTCATTAACCTCTGGTTCCCAAACTAAAATTATGACCTTTGTTTGGGAAGTACCTTTACTTTGGCTTGGGACTGCAGTCTCCTATTAAAGGAAATGTTCCACACTGAAAGATATTGCAGCAAACATCAGATGTGATGAAATAAGCTTATTATAATAAATGGCATGCTATAAAGTGGGAAAAGACTGCTCTAGACAACACAGCCCCTCTATTATAGTAAGTATGCTCCTCAATGCGCCATTGTTTGATTACGTCATCGTATCTTGCACAACACTATGGAGAGGGAATCAACGTCCTTTATATCCGGAAATCTTGCTTGCAAATATTTGTCTTGGCTTTGATCGCCGTCAATGTCATGTCAGATAGTCAATGAAATGACAGGATTTTAATGAAGCTATGGCGTCATGAATGTCTGGGTGACCTTGAAATAGTTGCACGAAAAGGTTGCACATTTTCACGGGCGCCTAGCTGAGAATTTAGAGGGGCTTAGATTTTGAGACGGACAGGGCTGTGAACTTCACCGAATGATCTTCAGGATGGCTATTTCAGTCCAAATCCTATACACATGTTAAGCACCACAAGTCCTGCCTGCACCCCTCCCTACTTGCACGTGACTCAGTGCAGCAGCCAGCGGCACGATTGGTCCCCAGTCAACCCGTATCACGTAGCTCTGACGTCAACAATAATGACGCCATGCCACCAGTTATTGACAGCGCAGCGGAGCACCCCCTCCGCTACCCTTTGAGACCTGTAACACCCGTTTATCTTCCTGTTAAAAATGTTGCGTCAAGCCAGCATTTCTTTCACCGCCTTCACTTTTCCAGTATCCCCTACACCCCTGCTTCTCAGTTCGAATTTCAATGTAATGGTGAACAACTCCCTTTTTATGCTGCGGTACACTAAGGCGGTGGGCATCCCCAGTTGGGGTATTGTGCATTCGAGGCATTGTACATCCCTATAGTTTCCACCAGCCAGGTGTGCCGCTCTGTTTGAACCCTCAAACGTCCCTCTACCATCACACCGCACTCCACGCCTGGGTGACAGGCGCCTCTGCTGGGGCATTAACAGTAAACACGCTCCATCACTAACGCTGGTGATTTGGGGATTAGGGCGCTGATGTTAAAGGTCACTTTGCACCCATAACCGCTGACAGATTCCGACGAATTCAAGTGGTTAGTCTCTACCCACCCGTAAGGCTCTCAGCATACGTCTGGGGCGTATCCTTACCTTTGGCCTGGGGATGCCCCTCCACCCGGGCAAGACACACCCATGTTTTTAGGGCAACCCCACATCATCCAGTCGCCCTTTCACTTGGGTTCAGAAGTACATCGCACCTGGGATTTGGTGCGCTCATCCTCAGGCTTCATATGATAGGGGCGCCTTCATGGGACGAAAAGGTGCCAAATTGTTCATGTGCTAAGGAGGTGGCGGGGGCGAAGACCCTCTTAGGCGCCCGGCCCGTACCCCCGCGTAACTACATAGATAGGAAGTTCCAGACAAAGACATGAATCAGTTATTGCCACACAGTGGCCGTCCGTTTGCGTCATCTTTTCAAATCGCGAACCGCGAACTAGCCCGCTCAGTCAGCAGCCAGCATCCATCCGTGGTATTGCAGTCGGCAGCGCTTCACTGGCAGCGGCCTGGGACCGCGGCTGTGGGTCTCGGCCGAGGAACGGGTCGGCCGCTTCAAGGTCGCGCGACGGTGGCGGCGGGCCGGGGGTGGAGGGGGGCCGGCGCCGCGCCGCTCCCCATCAGCTGGTCAGATCGGGTTCCCTACTCACCCTGGCCAGCAGGCGGCCGCTCGCCACCGTCAGCCCGATGCCGGGCCGGAAGCGCACCAATACGCCCGCCTCGATCTCCAGAGCACCCGACGCCTCCACCAGCACGTCACTGCTGGCCACGTACGGCTGAGCGCGACAGCTCCCAGCGCGTCCGTTGGCTGTAGATGCCGCCGACCTCCGTCTCGGCGCCAGCCAGGCTTACGGCAGCCACCAACACCAACGCCGGCAGGTCGCCAAGCGTGCCCCGCCATGGCCGCCGCCCGCTCCCGGAGCGCGCGCGTGCTGTCCGTCGCTCCGGTGCACGATCGCCCACGCTCACCGCGGCTCCGCCGCCGCACAGGCACTCAGCCGCCGCCGCGCCTGCGCGCGCCCTCCCAGGCCAACCGCCTCACTGTTACGCATTGGAGGTTTAAACGCGGTCACGTGACTATGACGTCACATAGGTACGAAGCTCCAGTCAGTCCAGGTGCTGGAGGGGCTCGGGCGCGTGGTCCGCACGAGGGCGGCGGTCGCCAGCGCCGACGCTGTGCTGTCGCGCGGGGCGCGTATGGGGCTCGGGCTGCGTTGCTACCTTGACGGACGACAGAGCGCGGCCGAGGGGCGGCGACGGGAGTACAGGTGCATTGTCATGACCAGCTCCTCCCCGCAAGAGGCAGAGGGGGCCGCGGCGGAGCGTGGGCCCGTGTAGGACCTAATTGTAAGGGGGAGAGACGAGCGGTGGTTTGTGCGGGGTGGACTGCAGCGGTGGAGGCACGGGACCGGCACGCATTCACAGAACGGCCCGAGTCGGAGTCACGGAGAATTTCTGATGCACAGGCCGAATGAGATTGCTCGTAGTCACTTCAATGCAAGAGCCAACATTCGAACAATGTGCCCTTTCATGCTGAACACATATGACAGGATCATTAGAAATAATATTGTACCAAAGGCAAAACAGGTCTACGAACAACCAAGTTTATCCCGAAATTCAGATCCAGTCCAGCGGCCAGCGGCAAAAACAAATCTGACCCAGCAGCAGATCCAGCATCGCCTTTTGGTTAGGTACTAGCCTCAGAACACTGCCCGCGTGGTTTTCACATCAGTAGGGAAAAGGGAAGCGGAGAAAAAGACGGCAGGTGAGAAAGACACGACGATGGAGCTTGCTTTCGCCGTTTTGTGTGGGCATTGGCCACTTGTCGGCTGCGCAGTGTCTTGAATGCGCTACCGTACCCAGCGTTCGCCCCTCGTGAGGCCCACTTGGCGGCGTTGCAATCGATTTTGACATTCCATGCTCAACCATTTTAGTGCCCATTGTCTTGTCGTATTACTTATTTGACAAGTAAGGTTGGTGGCAGCAAGCTTATTTTAGATATAAGCGCTGAGGGCGAACAAAACTGAAGGATGAAAAGCAGCCAGCGCGAAATCCTTGAAGAAGCACGCAACGCTTTCTTCAAGGGGAGAATAAAATGCTTCTGCTTTCCAGATCATTAGCAATAAATGCCCTAAAATGGCTCAAACGCCCAGACAAAGGGCCTGACAGTAGGCTTCTATCCCTCTGGAATAGATCCAAGGGAGATACACATGCTGTCCCGCGGGACAAATACAGATGTATCCACACAGTATAGGTTTACGGTGGACGTCGCTATCTCTCTCAGAACATCTTATCATCAGCGGGTCGCTATTACCTCACGAGTCCCGAGCTCCGGACCTCTCGTTCGATGTTCAGCAGAACATCTCATCATCAGCAGGTCGCTATCATCTCGAGTCCCGAGCTCCGGACTTCACGTTCGATGTTCAGCAGAACATCTCATCATCAGCGGGTCGCTATCACCTCACGAGTCCCGAGCTCCGGACCTCACGTTCGATGTTCGGCTCGCTCTTCAGCATTATAATTTTCGTCGCATCGGGATGGCCTCTTCGTAAGTTGCGTGGCTGTCGAACCACTAACGCCCCCTACCCGAAAGGGGGACCCTCGTTCCCCTTCACTCGCACAGAACGTCGCCTCCACCTGATCTTTTGACCTGAAGATGGTCTACGTCTAAAAATAAATGCCAGGACATCTTCAGACTCCTTTCACCTCGTTTTCACGCTTTGTTCAACAAACATCTTCCATGCATACCCATATATTTTACACTGAGGTCTATCGATCAAAATAATTACCCGCGATTTGTAAAACATAATACGTTCAAGCACGCATAGTGTCGCGATAATTGTACATTGCAAACATCACGCCATAAACGTATTCATACTACGATGCGTTTTAAGATTACAGCATCTCCTTCATAAGTTGCCTTCCGTGCCTGTATTGTCTATCCAAGGTCCATGCTCTCATGGCGGCCCCATACTACGTCATAACCCGGCGCTAAATGTGCAGAAGTAGCATTAACAAACACATTCTAGTTAACATTGACTGGGCCTCGAGCCATTTCGTCAGGAATTCTCACAGCCTGCTGTCCAGGTTCATTACCAGGAATGAAAAGTGACAAATGGCGACTGGCAATACACCAGAGCGCTCAATACCCGTCGGTGTGATGGACAGTGAGCCAAAAACGGCACCGAAACATCGGTACGAATACACTTTGTAGCCCCCTACCCGCCGTGCAAACCATTAAACATTCCTGAAATTAAATGTTATCAATGCCCTGGTCACAATTAAAACATGATGCGCACAGTCGCAATCCTTCGCTGGCCCTCAAGAACTTCAAAAACATACGTTAAATGATATGCCATGCCAGCACACTGGCCATAAATCAATCCGCATACCCGTTCATAGGACGCGAAGCATCCGCAAACCGAGGCGTTTGCGATTCCTTCAAAATGCGCAACGTAAAACACAGACTTATCACCACGCCTACAGCCCAACCCTCATAATTCCCCATGCCGGATTGAGCCCGGATCGCCCGAGGGTCTAAAATCAGCCATTCCATCGTGCACCGATATCAATTATGCACCACTCCAGGTGAACCCAACACATTTCAGGACAAGCAAGCTGTGAAGGTCAGCTGCCTTGGCAAAATACAACACGGTCAGATCATTTGCCGGCTGTGTTAGATCACCTTTGTCGGAACCAGTGTAGGCTTGTGCGGTGTGAGCACTTTTGGAACAAAAATGCGAGGTTTTCTCTCTCTTTGCGCATTAAGTAAAATCCAGGTCAATTCTACTGACTTAGAGCAGTCATGCAACTAAATTCAATTAATGTTACCTGAAGCAGCATTGTCAACTAAACACAAATGACCTTTCCCTGACGCTCACCTTGGCCTGAGCACACACAGCAGCGTTTTTCGACGCCGGAGCGGTGCGATGTGCGGGCTGGCACAGCCATCATTACAAGCGCACATAACTGTGTTCTAGTCAGGACATTCCTGAGGTCTTTGCCCTGAGGTCACACCTGTGTCGCCCGTCAGTTGCAAGGCAGAGGTAATGCCGTCAAAGTGAGAATGACCAGGGATACCAAATGCCCTTTAAATCTCACCGATCTCATGATTCGGCCCCAAGATAAACATACATCTCCCCGCGAGGCGGTCGTGGCTGGCGAAATACAGCACGTGGAGCCGCGTTGGCACGCTGTGACGTAGCGGGGAGGGGCGGGTGTGCGGAGCCGATGTCGGCTCGGGTCCGGTCCAGGCCGAGCCGACGTCGGACGGTGGCGCCGCCTGCCTCAGACCGCCGGCTCCCGGCGGCGGGCTCGGCCGGCGGCCGCCATCCGGCCGGCCGCCACCGTCCGCCACCCCGCCCGGCCCGGTCGCGGTCGAGGCGGAGGTGCGGAGCCGATGTCGGCTCAGGTCCGGTCCAGGCCGGGCCCGACGTCGGACGGTGGCGCCGCGGGCTCAGACCGCCGGCTCCCGGCGGCGGGCTAGGCCGGCGGCCGCCATCCGGCCGGCGCCACCATCCGCCGCCCTGCCCGGCCCGGCCGCGATCGAGGCGGAGGTGCGGAGCCGATGTCGGCTCAGGTCCGGTCCAGGCCGAGCCGACGTCGGACGGTGGCGCCGCCAGCCTCAGACTGCCGGCTCCCGGCGGCGGGCTCGCCCGGCGGCCGCCATCTGGCCCGGCGCCACCGTCCGCCGCCCTGCCCGGCCCGGCCGCGGTTGAGGTGGAGACGCCCCTCGGCAGCACACCCATCTCCACGCGAGCGGCGCCAGGCGCGCTCTCAGGCCGCACCACGGCCTACTGAGGAGCCAGCCAGCCGTCGGACTGGCGATCCGTCCGCGGCGGCCTGGTCTCCGTGGACCAGATAGGGCCTGAGGACCAGCACCATGCTGAGACACTGGGATACAGCCCTAGCTACCCACACTACCTACTCTAATCTAGCCCGATTGTCCCGGAAATCTGGCGTGCGGAGTTGTGCAGCAGCCGAGCTTGGCCGACGGATGCGGGTCCGGTGCCGGCGCGCGCCGTGTGGGCGCGGCTAGGGGCTGGTCGTCACCGAGGCGGCCGAGCGTCTCCAACAGGTGCTGGACGGAGGGCCGGTCGGGCGGGCTCGTGCTGCAGTGTACCAGCGCCAGCCGGCCGGCGCCGTCCAGTATGAAGTCACCACCCATCTGGTGCGGGTCGTCCTCCACGCCGCGGTAGGCGGCTGGCAGCGGCCGGCCGGCCGCCTTCTGGCCGCCGTAGTACTGCAGCGTGCTGTGCTGCCACACCTGCCGCACAAACACAGCTGCAGCGCTCCGTCCTGCAACACCTGTGCAGTACTGCAGCGAGCTGTGCTGCCACACCTGCTGCACAAGTTCAGCTGCAGCACTCTGTCCTGTAACACCTGTGCAGTATTGCAGCGAGCTGTGCTGCCGCACCTGCTGCACAAACACAACTGCAGCGCTCTCTCCTGCTGCACCTGCGCGGCACACGATCTTGCAAGCATTCTCAGCTGCTGTGGAAATGATGTGGCGACCTTCCTTTAATTATTGCTCATTCGCCTACCGTCATTGTGTGTCAGACCACGTACTTCGTCGCCGAAATCATCCATTGATAACTCAGTCAAACCCATACGCCTTCTCATCACTTTGTACTGACCATGTGCTTAGAGAAAGTGGGGTTTC